GCAGGCTCATGTCTATCAGAGCAGAGAGATGTAGAGAGATCATAGAGAGTGCATGTCATTCTAGTTCTGTGACAGATACAGGCGTGCTTCTCACACAACCACGCGTTGGTCTCAAACGTAGGTTACAATGTTGCGCAAACGATAAGAATATCAGGCCCGGGCTGAAAATTAACGAAGAGGCAACTTGAATTAACTTTGAGCACTTTTATTCAAATTTTTACAAAAACATATTTTTCATGCCACGAGAGGTACCGGATCCGGCAAAATAGGTTCCAGAACAAAACAGTCCAAAACAGAGAGGTGCCGGATCCCACTGGATATATTACGTTGTGTTAGGTTACGTTATGAATGGAATAGCGATCGTACAATGTCATACGAATTAGAGGATGTATATTATCAAAGGTTGGGAGAATTTACATACAAGTTTAACAACAAAGTTAGGAAAAACAGGCTAAGGGTTAGATGAAATGCTACAGTTGTCCTGACATTACTTGAACATGCAACCTTTGGATTACTAGACGGTCGTGCATACGCCCAACCAACCTCCTTACTTTAGTTTCTGTATTAACCCCCTAGAGTCGATTGACACACCGGTACGTCAATCTAAGTAACATAATAATAATAAAATAAAAACACTTCATCTGTTTAAGTCAGAGATATATATATATATATATATATATATAACATTTTTTATTGGATGCGTCTCAACGGATGACCTTTGGTGAAAGGTGGCAGAGCTAGAGAGGTGTTTGTCAGACCATGAGACATCCCTAAAATTGGTCTTCTCACAAAAACATCTGTAGCATCTACAAGCTATACTGTACAAAACAATTTACGCAACACGCAACAATTTCAACGATTTTACTGAGTTACAGTTCATGTACAGTGGGGGAAAAAAGTATTTAGTCAGCCACCAATTGTGCAAGTTCTCCCACTTAAAAAGATGAGAGAGGCCTGTAATTTTCATCATAGGTACACGTCAACTATGACAGACAAATTGAGATTTTTTTTCTCCAGAAAATCACATTGTAGGAATTTTAATGAATTTATTTGCAAATTATGGTGGAAAATAAGTATTTGGTCACCTACAAACAAGCAAGATTTCTGACTCTCACAGACCTGTAACTTCTTCTTTAAGAGGCTCCTCTGTCCTCCACTCGTTACCTGTATTAATGGCACCTGTTTGAACTTGTTATCAGTATAAAAGACACCTGTCCACAACCTCAAACAGTCACACTCCAAACTCCACTATGGCCAAGACCAAAGAGCTGTCAAAGGACACCAGAAACAAAATTGTAGACCTGCACCAGGCTGGGAAGACTGAATCTGCAATAGGTAAGCAGCTTGGTTTGAAGAAATCAACTGTGGGAGCAATTATTAGGAAATGGAAGACATACAAGACCACTGATAATCTCCCTCGATCTGGGGCTCCAAGCAAGATCTCACCCCGTGGGGTCAAAATGATCACAAGAACGGTGAGCAAAAATCCCAGAACCATACGGGAGGACCTAGTGAATGACCTGCAGAGAGCTGGGACCAAAGTAACAAAGCCTACCATTAGTAACACACTACGCCGCCAGGGACTCAAATCCTGCAGTGCCAGACGTGCCAGACAGTCCCCCTGCTTAAGCCAGTACATGTCCAGGCCCGTCTGAAGTTTGCTAGAGTGCATTTGGATGATCCAGAAGAGGATTGGGAGAATGTCATATGGTCAGATGAAACCAAAATACAACTTTTTGGTAAAAACTCAACTCGTCGTGTTTGGAGGACAAAGAATGCTGAGTTGCATCCAAAGAACACCATACCTACTGTGAAGCATGGGGGTGGAAACATCATGCTTTGGGGCTGTTTTTCTGCAAAGGGACCAGGACGACTGATCCGTGTAAAGGAAAGAATGAATGGGGCCATGTATCGTGAGATTTTGAGTGAAAACCTCCTTCCATCAGCAAGGGCATTGAAGATGAAACGTGGCTGGGTCTTTCAGCATGACAATGATCCCAAACACACCGCCCGGGCAACGAAGGAGTTGCTTCGTAAGAAGCATTACAAGGTCCTGGAGTGGCCTAGCCAGTCTCCAGATCTCAACCCCATAGAAAATCTTTGGAGGGAGTTGAAAGTCCGTGTTGCCCAGCGACAGCCCCAAAACATCACTGCTCTAGAGGAGATCTGCATGGAGGAATGGGCCAAAATACCAGCAACAGTGTGTGAAAACATTGTGAAGACTTACAGAAAACGTTTGACATGTGTCATTGCCAACAAAGGGTATATAACAAAGTATTGAGAAACGTTTGTTATTGACCAAATACTTATTTTCCACCATAATTTGCAAATAAATTCATAAAAAATCCTACAATGTGATTTTCTGGATTATTTTTTCTCATTTTGTCTGTCATAGTTGACGTGTACCTATGATGAAAATTACAGGCCTCTCTCATCTTTTTAAGTGGGAGAACCTGCACAATTGGTGGCTGACTAAATACTTTTTTACCCCACTGAAAGGAAATATCAATTGAAATAAATTCATTAGGCCATAATCAACGGACTGCACATGACCGGGCAGGGATGGAGATATGTGTGGGCCTTTTTCAGGTCTCTACAGAGGTGTTAGATCGGGTTCAAGTCCGGGCTCTGGCTGGGCCACTCAAGGACATTCAGGGACTTGTCCCGAAGCCATTCCTGCGTTGTCTTGGCTGTGTGCTTAGGGTCGTTGTCCTGTTGGAAGGTGAACCTTCGCCCCAGTCTGAGGTCCTGAGCGCTCTGGAGCAGGTTTTCATCAAGGATCTCTCTGTACTTTGCTCCGTTCATCTTTCCCTCGATCCTGACTAGTCTCCCAGTCCCTGCTGCTGAAAAACATCCCCACAGCATGATGCTACCACCACCATGCAACACTTCACTGTAGGGATGGTGCCAGGTTTCCATTAGATGTAACGCTTGTCATTCAGGCCAAAGAGTTCAATCTTGGTTTCATCAGACCAGAGAATCTTGTTTCTCATGGTCTGAGAGTCCTTTAGCTGCCTTTTGGCAAACTCCAAATGGGCTGTCATGTGCCTTTTACTGAGGAGTGGCTTCTGTCTGGCCATTCTACCATAAAGGCCTGATTGGTGGAGTACTGCAGAGATGGTTGTCCTTCTGGAAGGTTCTCCCATCTCCACAGAAGAACTTTGGAGCTCTGTCAGATTGACCATCGAGTTCTTGCTCTCCTCCCTGACCAAGGCCCTTCTCCCCTGATTGCTCAGTTTGGTTGGGCGGCTAGCTCTAGGAAGAGTCTTGGTTGTTCTAATCTTCCTCCATTTAAGAGTGATGGAGGCCACTGTGTTCTTCAGGATCTTCAATGCTGCAGAAATGTTTTGGTACCCTTTCCCAGATCTGTGCCTGGACACATCTTGTCTCAGAGCTCTACGGACAATTCCTTCTACTTCATGGCTTGGTATTTGCTCTGACATGCAATATAAACTGTGGGACCTTGTATAGACAGGTGTGTGCCTTTCCAAATCATGTCCAATTAATTGAATTTACCACAGGTGGACTCCAATCAAGTTGTAGAAAAGTCAAGGGGTCTGAATACTTTCCAAATGCACTATAGGCCTACTGTACTGCTGATTAGCTATGGAGCACCGGTCTGCGTAGACTCCGGTCCTGGACGAGACAGATGTTTTTATTAGGTTTTATTTACCGCAGTGTCTATTAATTGTCCAAACACGTGGCCACTTTCCCACTCTATATTGCTATTGAATTTTCACAAATGCCTTAGTGTACATAATTCCCAAACATTCTAAGAATTTATGAAAATGTGAAATTACCATATCTAAGTGCTCGCTTTCCAGAAAAAGTAAAAAAAATTACATTCTTCCTGGGGGTGTATAAGAACAGCTTTCAATACGATTTCCTGTTGCTAAACGGCTGTCAGTTCCACTTTAAAATAGCAGAGGATATTCTAAATGGGCTGCTTGTAAATATAGGTCTGTATGCGCTGCTGTTCTCTAAGCTGAGACAGTTATAATGTGTACATGTAGTGATGATTTGTGTTTACACAGTGATTTTCTATAGAATGCAGAGCACCTTGACACTGAGGAAAAACCCATCCTATCCACCACCTGGACCTGAACACTCACCACATTGGCTAACTCTTAGATTTCACAGATGTACTATTGGATCACAACAAAATGTTTCAAATGAGTATGTTTCACAAGAATGTTTAAGGCATAATGGTGAGACATTGGCAGCATTTCAACCACAGGTGGCTGGTGGCACCTTAATTGGGGAGGACGGGCTCATAGTAATGGCTGGAACAGAATAAATGGAATGGTATCAAACACATCCATGTGTTTGATACAATTCCATTTACTCCATTCCATTCCTTATTATGAGCCGTCCTCTCCTCACCAGCCTACTGTGATTCCTACACACTGTTTTCAAAACCTTATATAGTAAAACCATTGAAGATTCAGATGTCAAGGTTTTTGTATGACTTCTCTTGTCTGGTGCTAAATCCCAGTCCAGGTCCTAGTTCACTGTCTTCTGTATGCAATCTAAACAATTAAGCAACCAGGAAAAGACATGATCTGATTCAATTAAAAAATGTTATTTATTTTGTTACAAATTGTTGTTTGACAATAGTGGTGTGATGGGGCCAATATTTCTGCGGTAATGTGTGAGATTTAAACATTTACAGTACCAGTCAAAATGTTGGACACACCTACTCATTCAAGGGTTTTTCTTTATTTGTACTATTTCTACATTGTAGAATAATAGTGAAGACATCAAAACTATGAAATAACACACATGGAATCATGTAGAACGCAAAAAAGTGTTAAACAAATTAAAATATATTTTATATTTGAGATTCTTCAAACAGCCACCCTTTGCCTTGATGACAGCTTTGCGCGCTCTTGGTGTTTTCTCAACCAGCTTACTGGTTACTACATGATTCCGTATGTGTTATTTCATAGTTTTGATGTCTTCACTATTATTCTAAGAAAAACCCTTGAATGAGTAGGTGTGTCCAAACTTTGACTGGTAATGTACATGGTTGAGAGACAACGGTAAGATTTGAAAAAAAGTGAGTAGATGGCCAGCACCTTTCTAGAGGTCCAGACCATGACTGTAGAAGCCGCTCAAGTTGACTTCATTTCTGGCCAATCCCACCTGGAGTCATATGGGAAAACAAAGAGAGATAATCAGTTTTGTGCATGGTTCGATTTACAGGGGGGAACTTCGCAGCCCTTTGACAAACCATCACCTTCTCCATTCAAACTCGTTATATATAGTCAACATACCAGCTGATTCCAGGGGAGCAGGGAGTGTAATACACATATATTCCACTGATAGATAGTTATGTTACCAAAAGAGGAGAGAGAGGAGCTTACCCAGTTCTTCGACTAGAAGAGATTGTTGTTCCAGTAGAACTTGGTAAAAGGCTGATTTAGCCACCTTTCCTCCAGGTATCAGGGCCGCATACAGCTTTCTCATCTTTGCATTACTGGTTTGGGCTGCAGTGATTTCAGAGTAATCCTCATCATGGATCATTTTCTTCTGGTATAGGCTATCTACTATTGGCATCACCATGGTAACCCTTTTAACAAGATTTTCCCTGTTATTATCCACAAACTGGGCACCTGTGTTAGAGAACATTTGTTATTCAAACAACCTTAAAGAATGATTGATTTTCAGTTAATCTAACCGTGCATGTACAGGACTATACATGTGAGACCGAAATACAGATGTTTTTCTTTCGGCATCATTTGACAAACACGACATAAGAAAGACCTTGCATCAGAATTGTTTCCTGAATGAAAATGATATTCAGTGCTCACAATCTGAGTTCTTTCTTAAAATGCATTTCATATCAGCACCAAACAAAGATATTTTAAGAGTTGAGCATGCTATATTTTCCATTATCAATATTTCCTCAGTGAAATGCATACTTTTGTCTTGCAGATGTACCTTTAGGTCATCTATTTATCATGCCTCTCAGTGTGAATCTGGTCAATTACATAAATTATTTAATCCCATTATTTTGTAATAACTTCTCAAAACACTAGTTAAGTAATATTTCTGCATTTATCCCATGCAAACAAGGCAGGTACATTACCATACTGCTTTGTCTCCATGTCTGAAGATTGAACCTGGCTAGACTGGGGAGTAGCAGCTTGACCTGGTGAGAGAGAGAGAGACTCTCCATGACATGGTTTGTAAAGAATCAACAGGTTCTGTATTTGTAGCCTGAGTTGAATAAAGCGCAAATTGACGTATGGCATGCTGAATTTCCTGCTTTTACTTCCTGGCAAAACTAGGCCTACACTCAGGGGCAGCTTCCTGAACACAGATAAAAAGCCTACACCTGGACTAAAAAGCAAGATCAATGGAGAATCTCCATTTAAAAATTCATTTTAGTCCAGGAGTAGCTTAATTATCTGTGTCCAGGAAACTGCCTCTCAATGTTCAACTATCAACAATAGACAAATACATATTTACTATTATTAACTTTACAGTATGTGAACAAACGATTAAAATGCACATATGAAAGTACATTTGTTGCATACAGTATTTGTTTTCAGTGAGTTATGAATTACCTTTTTCACTGTCTGTCTTTAACTTATCTGCTAGAGCAAACATTCCCATGACTTCCAGGATCTTCCGTGTGATCTTCACAGCACCTTCGTTCATATAGGCCTGCACCATCTTAGTCACTGTGTCTTGCCTCTTAGCATCCTCTAGATTGGCGATTGACATGGGAGTGAAGCCTTCCAGTGTTTCCTGCATCAGGTGCCACTGGAAGGTCTGAAACGTAGCCTTGTCTAGTTTTTCTAGGGTAGCCAGCAGCCGCTGTGGAACGGGTGTGCCCATTGTAGATCACTAGAATAGGTCAGAAATTAATATATTAATTCACAAAACTTTACTACAAGCAAAAAATTGACTCAACCATATTGACACGTTGACAATCTTTATTTTACCCATTACACCCAGGTACTTACAATGTGTCTGTGCTGGACAGATTGCACCCCGTAACTCCTTTGTCTCCAAAACGTGTTCTTCAGTTTTTTACTTTCAGTTATATCTTTACATTCTCCACCCCTTTTTAGTTGAGTCAGAGGGGGTGGAGTTCCAAGTACACAGTCAAGACTTTATATACAGAAATGTAATGGCATATTGGTTTTGCATTACTTGGTTTTGTAGTGTTTGAGACCTGATGAACTATCAGTATGATAAACTATTTTATTCAGAGCAAATCAACTTCTACAAAACAAAACACACACAGATTAGCTTTCTAAATAAACCAGAAAATGTATAGTTATTTACGTTTTTTTATCAAAGTTAGCTGGCTGACACATTGTAGTCTACCCCACTGGTCTCAGGTCTACAGGCTTCACCAAATACAACAGATCGATTCAATACCAAATGCACATTTACTTTTCTGGATGGAAATGTTATTCTACATAATCTGGTCAGTGACTGCCATCTAGTGGTGATCATAACCAGCCATAAAATTAAGCAATATATGTCACAACAGGTGTAAATATAGGGGTCATCACAGTGTTATGACCATATTATGACAAGTTATGTCAGCTGTTATGACATATTATGATATGGTTATGACTGTGTCATAACGCGTTATGACGCTGGGTATCAAGTAAAGTGTTACCACATGTTTTGATAATAAAACATTTGATGTTTCCATTGCGTGAACGATGGAGGATTGGCTGATTTCCAGTTTTATATACTGAACAAAATATAAACGCAACATGCAACAATTTCAACGATTTTACTTAGTTACAGTTCATATAAAGAAATCAGTCAATTGAAATAAATCCAATAGGGCCCTAATCTATGGATTTCACATGACATGGCAAGGGCGCAGCCATGGGTGGGCCTGGGAAGGCGTAGGCCCACCCACTTGAGGGCCAGGCCCACCCACTAGGGAGCCAGGCCCAGCCAATCAGAATGAGTTTTTCCCCACTAAAGGGCTTTATTACAGACAATAAAGGGCTTTATTACAGACAAAAAAGTTCACTGCTTCAGTGTTATGAGATATTTTTGTCAGATGTTACTACGGTATACTGAAGTATAATTACAAGCATTCCATGCTCCGAATGGCGCCGGAGAAGATTGCTGCCGTTTTACAGCCCTCTAACCAATTGTACCATTATGTGTGTTTTTCCGCATTATTTGTAATTTATTCTGTACATAATGTTTCTGCCATCGTCTCTTATAACCAAAAGGAGCTTCTGGATATCAGGACAGCGATTACTCACCTCGTATTGGACGAAGATTTTTTCTTCAACAAGTCGGACGCGAAGGATATCCTACAGACACCCGACAAGGCCTAAATCCCCGTCATTCGCATGAGAAAGAGACTGAGATATTGTGGACGTAGGTCGGGGTGCCTTGTAAGGATCCAACGGCGAGCGAGTAAACTGCCTCTTCCATCAATCCTATTAGCCAATGTTCAATCATTTGAGAATAAATTAGATTACGGTTATCCTACCAACGGGACATTAAAAACTGTAATATATTATGTTTCACCGAGTCGTGGCTGAACGACGACATGGACAACATACAGCTAGCGGGCTATACGCTACATCGGCAGGATAGAACGGCTGACTCCGGCAAGACAAGGGGTGGTGGTCTGTTTATATTTGTAAACAACAGCTGGTGCACAAAATCAAATACTAAGGAAGTCTCGAGGTTTTGCTCGCCTGAGGTAGAGTATCTTATGATAAGCTGTAGACCACACTATTACCAAGAGAGCTTTTCATCTATAATTTTCATAGCTGTCTATTTACCACCACAAACCAATGCTGGCATTAAGATTGCACTGAATGAGCTGTATAAGGCCATAAGTGAACCGGAAAACGCTCATCCAGAGGCAGCGCTCCTAGTGGCCGGGGACTTTAATGCAGGGAAACTTAATCAGTTCTACCTAATTTCTACCAGCATGTTAAATGTGCAACCAGAGGGAAAAAAAACTCTAGACCACCTTTACTCCACACACAGAGACACATACAAAGCTCTCCCTCACCCTCCATTTGGCAAATCTGACCATAACTCTATCCTCCTGATTCCTGCTTATAAGCAAAAACTAAAGCAGGAAGCACCAGTGACTCAGTCAATAAAAAAGTGGTTAGATGAAGCAGATGCTAAGCAACAGGACTGTTTTGCTAGCACAGACGGGAACATGATCTGGGATTCTTCAGATAGCATTGAGGAGTACACCACATCAGTCACTGGCTTCATCAATAAGTGCATCGATGATGTCGTCCCCACAGTGACCGTATGTACATACCCCAACCAGAAGCCATGGATTACAGGCAACATCCGCACTGAGCTAAAGGGTAGAGCTGCCGCTTTCAAGGAGCAGGACTCTAATCCGGACGCTTATAAGAAATCCCGCTATGCCCTCCGACGAACCATCAAACAGGCAAAGAGTCAATACAGGACTAAGATTGAATCGTACTACACCGGCTCTGATGCTCGTCGGTTGTGGCAGGGCTTGAAAACTATTACAGACTACAAAGGGAAGCACAGCCGCGAGCTGTCCAGTGACACAAGACTTCCAGACGAGCTAAACCACTTTTATGCTCGCTTCGAGGCAAGCAACAATGAAGCATGCATGAGAGCACCAGCTGTCCTGGATAACTATGTGATCATGCTCTCCGTAGCCAATGTGTGTAAGAATTTTAAGCAGGTCAACATTCACAGACGGATTACCAGGACGTGTACTCCGAGCATGTGCTGACCAACTGGCAAGTGTCTTCACTGACATTTTCAACATGTCCCTGACTGAGTCTGTAATACCAACATGTTTCAAGCAGACCACCTGCTTAGTGCCCAAGGACACTAAGATAACCTGCCTAAATGACTACCGACCCGTAGCACTGACGTCTGTGGCCATGAAGTGCTTTGAAAGGCTGGTCATGGCTCACATCAACACCATTATCCCAGAAACCCTAGACCCACTCCAATTTGCATACCGCCTCAACAGATCCACAGATGATGCAATCTCTATTGCACTCCACACTGCCCTTTCCCACCTGGACAAGAGGAACACCTACGTGAGAATGCTATTCCTTGACTACAGCTCAGAATTCAACACCATAGTGCCCTCAAAGCTCAGCACTAAGCTAAGGATCCAGGGACTAAACACCTCCCTCTGCAACTGGATCCTGGACGTCCTGACGGGCCGCCCCCAGGAGGTAAGGGTATGTAACAACACATCTGCCACACTGATCCTCAACGCGGGGGCCCCTCAGGGGTGCATGCTCAGTCCCCTCCTGTACTCCCTGTTCACCCATGACTGCATGGCCAGGCACAAACTATCATGGTCCAAACACACCAAGACAGTCGTGAAGAGGGCACGACAAAGCCTATTCCCCCTTGGCATGGGTCCTCAGATCCTCAAAAAATTCTACAGCTGCACCATCGAGAGCATCCTGACTGGTTGCATCACCGTTTGGTATGGCAACTGCTCAGCCTCAAACCGCAAGGCACTACAGAGTGTAGTGCGTACGGCCCAGTACATCACTGGGGCCAAGCTTCCTGCCATCCAGGACCTCTATACCAGGCGGTGTCAGAGGAAGACCCTCAAAATTGTCAAAGACTCCAGCCACCCTAGTCTTAGACTGTTCGCTCTGCTACCGCACTGCAAGCGGTACCGGATTGCCAAGTCTAGGTCCAAAAGACTTCTCAACAGCTTCTACCCCCAAGCCATAAGACTCCTGAACAGCTAATCATGGCTACCCGGACTATTTGCACTGCCCCCCCCCCCCCCCCTCACCCCCAACCCCACCCCATCTTTTTACGCTGCTGCTACTCTGTTCATTATTTATGCATAGTCACTTTAACTCTACCCACATGTACATATTACCTCAACTACCTCAACTAGCCGGATTGACTCTGCACCGGTACCCCCCTGTATATATAGCCTCCCTACTGTTATTTTATTTTAACTTCTGCTCTTTTTTTCTCAACACTTTTTTGTTGTTGTTTTATTTTACTTTTTTATAAAAATAAATAAATGCATTGTTTTTTAAGGGCTGTAAGTAAGCATTTCACTGTAATGTCTACACCTGTTGTATTCGGCACATGTGGCCAATAAAATTTATTTTGATTTGATTTGAAATACTCCTCAGTTTCATCAGCTGTCCTGGTGGCTGGTCTCAGACGATCTCTCAGGTGAAGGAGCCGGATGTGGAGGTCCTGGACTGGCGTGGTTACACGTGGTCTACGGTTGTAGGGCCGGTTGGACATACTGCCAAATTCTCTAAAAGGTAGAGAAATTAATATTAAATTATCTGGCAACAGCTCTGGTAGACATTCCTGCAGTCAGCATGCCAATTGCACCCTCCTTCAAAACTTGAGACATCTGTGGTACTGGGTTGTGTGACAAACTGCACATTTTAGTGTAGCCTTTTATTGTCCCCAGCACAAGGTGCACCTGTGTAATGATTATGCTATTTAATCAGATTCTTGATATGCCACACCTGTCTTGTGGATGGATTATCTTGGCAAAGGAGAAATGCTCACTAAAAGGGATGTAAACAAATGTGTGCACCAAATTTGAGAGAAATAAGCTTTTTGTGCGTGTGGAAAACTTCTGGGATCTTTTATTTCAGCTCATGAAACATGAGACCAACACTTTGCATGTTCTGTTTATATTTTTGTTCAGTATACGTTTAAAGATAATTGATGAGAAGAGTATTGTCCAACCCATTGGGTATCTCACTGCACCCTCATATGTAATGTCTTGAAATATACAGACAGACAAATTAAAAGTACATTTACATTGCAATACCTTTGATATTCATCTTTCCAACTCCGACCATAACTTTTGATTTTAAGTAGCATTCCCAGAAGTCATGAGTTATTGAGTCATTAGTAGTTTTATACTTCAGACATGACTCTGCTGTTGTGCTGTAGAATTTGTGAATTGTGTCTCTTGTATTATAAATTCTATACATTCATTTATACTGGATTAAGTGTAAATTTTTGTTAACTGTAATCTCGTTAGTTATGTTCCAACATTTTCAATCTTGGTTCCAATAGATTATATTTTTTCTAAGAAAT